AGAGAAAGAGAGAAAGAGAGAAAGAGAGAAAGAAAAAGAAAGGCTTCACACAGAGAGTCAAACTGGATGCCAACATGTGATCAGACTGATTTGAAAGGTAGACAGAGAAGAGTCCCAAGTAATCCTTCAGAGGGATCCAAGTGGAAGAGCAAAGACTTGAGGACCTTTGTTCTAGATTTTGAGTTTAAAGGAAATAGAATCACTGTGTATTCCCAAATGATGAAATGAGTCTTTTAAAACACTGAGTTTGACAGTATAAGCAAGACAGACCTCAAAGAGCTACTTTAAAAAGCAGGAAAATAAGCCAGGGAATTACTACACCACGGCCAGAAGGTGTTACATGGGATGAGAGCGACCTGCAGAGCCACCACTTTCACCTTATTGATCCGATTCTTCTCTGGCTTGGCAGGCTTAGGAGGATGTTCATCTTCCTCCTTCTCTTCCTCACTCTGATCCTGAATCAGGGCTGCAAAAACATTACCCTGGAGAATGAAAGGGACAGAGAAGTCAGTGCAATGATCAATGCTGCACCACTGGGGTCTGTTTACCACACAGATGGCTTACCTTGGTTTTCTTCCCTCCTCGGGGTACCCGGACAGGAACTGAAATGACAAGGGGACATGAGGTAGAAAACATAATTATATATAATATTTGGCTCCTCAACCTAATCCAAGTCACAGATGAAGGAATGAGGTACTTCATGATTCATGACTCAGGGATTCCTGGCACCTACTTCCCTCAGTCATTTACCTTCATCCTCCTCATCGCTGGCTGGCACTGAAAGCTTCTTAAATCGCTCCAGGAGCTCCTTCTCCTCTCCATCATCATCCACATCCTTCTTCCGTCGGCCTTTTCGGGTGTCTCGTTTCTTTTTTGGCTGCTGAAAGCAAAGTAGAGGGAGAGATAAAGCCCAGGCCGCCACTGCATCCTGGCGCCAGGCCCCAGGAGAGGCCCCACCAGCTGAGAGCCAACAGGGCTGGGAAGGGGCTGCGAAGGCACTGGCGGCCCCATGCTTGGACCTGCTGCTGCTGCTGTTGCTGCTCCTTCTCCTTGGGCACTTTCTCTTCCTCCTCAACCTGCTTATCTTCTACTGCCAGCTCTTCGAAGAACTGTGAAAGGAGTTAAGATACAAACATGGCTCAGAGACGACCGAGCCCTCTGCTGCATGCAGGCCACCTGACCTCCAGGCCACCCTCACCTTGCTTCCTCTCGACAAGATCTCTTCTCCTCCCCTGGGCTCCCCACCCCCTTCACCTGGCCATATTTTGCTTGGAAACACCCAGTAATTTAATAATTTCTCATCCTCAACCCTCCTTTCCTCACCGTCTTTTTGGTCTTCTTGTCCTTCTTCCCTTTCTTCACGACTTTGTCTAGAAGGGTAAGTGGACATTGTGACTGCTTATCTGCAAGTTCCAAAACAGCGTGATTCCCCTGCAAAGCTCTCTCCTCTCTATTTTACTCTTTCTTAGCTCAACTATCACCCCCTAGACACATCTGCACTTCTCATAAATGACAATGGTGGCTTGATGTAGGGTGGCAGTGGGAGGAAGAGAAGTAAAATTCCTAGGGTAAAGGGAGAAATGGCAAGTAAGAACAAGTATTCAGAGATGACTCCTATATTTTTTAGCTAGCAGAATTAGTTGGGCTAGTGGTACCACTCATTAACTCTGGATATACTGCAACAGAAGGTCCCCTCTCCCCACCATGGGTATCAGGGGTGATATGAATTCAGTCTGGGATATGTGGTTTGTGAAAGCTGCAAGCCATGTAAACAGAGCTGTCTGGTAAGTAAATGAACATTTGGGTCTATGCCCCACCTGCTCTGCTCATACAACATTCTAGCACAACTCATACTGGGTTATATTTAACTGTCTGGTCATTAGTCTTTCATCCTAGACAGCAGCTTTCCTGAGAGACTATTTAGCTTGTGTTCCCCAGGAGCAAAGTGAAAATTCAGTAAGTTTACTGACCGAACAGTTCTAGCTCCTCCCTTCTGTCCACCCCTACTTCCCTGAAGGCAGGAGATTGTGTCTAAATCCCTCACTCCTTCTCCCTATCAGACTGGGAGGCACCAGCAGCCTCATCATTCCCTTTCCTGTCCAAGCCTATCCAGTACCATATTCCCTTGCAAACCATCCCATCCACCCACTGCTAGCCAATTCTTAACCACATTTTTTTTTTATGAGAATCCCAAATACTCTGTAGTAATCATCTGTTCAGGAAAGTTTTCTGAGCATCTACTATGCCAAAGACTGGAGATAACAGGACAATCCCTATAATTTGAGGCTTCACAGACTAAAAGGACTTAACCCTATCACCCCTACTCTATCTGTTTCTCTATCCACACCTATGTTCTGGACACTGGCTTCTTCGTGCTCCTTGATTGAGTCCCAGGCATGCTTGTCTCATCCCAGGTTTTCTCTCCAAGAACTAATATAAACACATTGTCTCTCCTTCTTTAAATCTCCTTAACATCATTCTGATCCTTTTGACCATGGAGAGAGGAAAATCCTGTGCACAGGTTCATTGAAGCGTGAGAAAGCTGACCACTAAGGAATAGTAAAAGACCAAGTGTGGCTAAAACTATGCTTATCTTCCATCTCCTCCTCTAATGGCCCCTCTCCTTTAGTACATCAGATAAGCTGCTTCTAGCTTCAGAGTCAAATAAAATATTTTCCTTAACCTGACCATCTCCTTCTCTAATCACTTTTTTCCTTTCTTGTCTTCACTCTCAAAAGCATAGTCCACACCAGCTCCACTTCTCCACTGAACAAACTTCAATCTGACTAGAGTATTACCTCCTGATGACAACTTTTCCAAAGTTGCCACTCTTTCCTTTGTTGCTCAACCCTGAAAGTTATTTTCTTAGTCCTGATTTCCGTGGCTGCTTGCCTTTCCCAGTCTCATCTCCTCAGCTCCTTCCCATGTCACTTCCCTTAATGGCTGAGGTTTTTCTGGGTTCCCATCTTCTGCCCTCTTTTCACTTTAATCCATACGCTCTAGGAGACTCCTCCATATCTAACAGTTCAATGACATTGGCTTGTGTCTTCACTTCTAATCTAGACTTTCTCCAAAACTACTAAACAAACATTCTCCTTGCCATCTCCTCCAGAAGTTCCTCATAAATCTCCAGCTCAGTATTCAAAAGCTAATCTTCTCTCTTCCCACTCCCCACTCTATAGCTCATGTCTGCTTTACTACCAGTCCACTGCTGTTGAGTTACTTAAGTGGGTGGGGTGTCAACCTCAATTCTCCCTTCATTCAGTTCCCAGTTCTGGTCAATACCATTTCCTTAGTAACTTAGTCTTCACTGCTTTGGCTTATTCTCTTAACACTTCTCACCTGGATCATTGCCAGAGACTCTTAAATTGGTCTTCCTGCCTCCAATCCTGACCGTTCAAGCCATTTTCTTCTGCTCAGCTCTCAGTGTTGAGTTGATATCATTTCTTATGCACTTCAATGGGTCCTCCTCTAATGTCTTTAAACTCTTTGGAATAGTAAATAAAGCCTTTCATTACCTGTCTCCTATACATCTTTCCAATCCTTTCTAGTCACTCAATATTGGAAACCAGCCAGGCTCACCTCTGTCTCTACCTCTGCACAAACTTTTTCCTCTGTTTGGAATGCTCCCCTTGCTAACTCATACTAATCCTTCCAGAATGAACTCAGCTATCACATATTCTTGAGAGGCTTTGCTGACACTCCCACCATACCTTTCTGAGTAGATGCTTCCACTGTCTGATTAATGCTGTCCCCTCCACTAGAATGGTTGCCCCTTAAGAGCAAGGCTTACCTTTTATCTCTACATTCCCAGGTCCTCTGCACAGCACTAATATAAAGTACACATTTAATAAATGCTTGCAATATTAGTCACTGTGTGCCTAATTATTTGTGTTCACTTTATCTCCCTCTTCAAGTGCCTTAAAACCTATAAGGATGACTTGGTAGTTTCTCCCCTCCCCAAAGCACGGTATATACAGTGCTTAATTAAAAACAAGTGCTCAACATTCACTGCTTTTAAGTAAACCTTAAATACAACACCCAGCACCTTACACTCTTGCTCCAGGTGAGTCGGATATGTCTTACTACAGGGCCCATGAAAGAGTCATCCTCTCTAGAGAAGTAGGTGGGGTCACAGGCGCGGGGGGTGTAGGGGTGTGTGTGCACGCCTGCGCGCGCGGGGTTGGAACACAGCAAGGTCGGGAAATCGTCCAAAGGGAAGGGCTTTCTTATTTATCCCATCTCTCCCTTGGTTACTTATGTTCTTCGTCTTCTCTGCCCAGTCCCACTGAAGTTCGTGCGGGACACCACGGAACCTTTTCTTTGCCTCCGCCACAAACCCACTTCTGCCAAAGCAAAAGCCTCCCGGCCCAATTACACGCGTGCGCAGTAGCCCCCTCACGGCCCGGTCAGTCTCGTTCCGCGTGACCCTCTTCTAAGCCACGCACTCTCTTCCCTTTTCTCTCTCTCTCTCTCTCTCTCCCTCTCCGCCTACCAGTCTCACCTGAGGGGCTCGTGCTCTCTCCGTCCCCGATCCACTCGGGCTCCGGCGGCTGCAGCTTAGGCCCTTTCGGCATCGCGGTGGCAGTTAAGGTTACAGAGGCGGCACCGGGAGCTATTTCCGCTTCCGGCAGTGAGGGGCCCTCCACTCCGGCGCGGCCAACCCTCCCCGGGCGGCTCACGTGCACGCCGAGACGTCATCTCGGAGGCATGCCTGCGGCCCGGTCGGAGCGGGACCTTAATGACTGGGCGGGGCCGGCGGCTGCCTGCCCCCGTTGCGTAAGCACAGCGTTCAAAGGAGCACCACTAAGGACTAAATGTAATTGTTTCCAACAAGTACGAAGGAGTAGAGGCTTTTTTAAAAAGTGGATGCTACCTGCTACCAGCCCCTTAGCATTTGGTTAGGGGCAGAAAGGCGCCATCGACTCGGTCTAATGTTGAGACGTGTCACAAAATCCTGAAGTGTGGAATTGTGAAGGAGGAACTCTAGCCTAACAGAAATCAGCTGTGGGGAACTTGGCTTTACTTTTTTTTGTAATACCTTTACTGAGGTGTAATATACAATAAACTGCACATATAATAATTTGACAGTGAATAAACTGCAAAGTGTACATTTGATAAGTTTTGACATATATGCACCCTTAAACCACTACTACAATCAAGATTTAGGCTCACTTCTAACTCTACCACTTAATATGCTGCGAGCAAGGTACTCCAATAAGCCCTGTCAGCTCCATACTCTCCTGAAACCACTACATTAATGCTTTTGTCCCCACCATTGCCTAACTCCACTCTGTCCTAGGTCAACAGCTTGGGTCCATCCTACTCACTCTCCCAGCAGCATTTGATACAGATGGTTACTCCCTCCTTCCTTTGTTTTCTTCAGGGACACTACTCTGTCCAGGTTTCCTTTCCATCTCCGGCTTCTCTTTCTGAAGTCTAAATGTTGGAGTGCTTGGTGCTCATTCTTCGACTCTTCTTTATCTAGACTTATTACCTATATCTCATAACTTTAAATACCATCCGTAACTGATAAAGATCCCCAAATGTCTCCTGTTGGCTTCAACATCTGCCCTAAGCTCCAGGTTCACAAATCCAACTGCTTATTGCACATCCTCTGAGATCTCTAATAAATATCTCAAATTAGTATATACAAAACCAAGTTCTTGTTTTTTATTCCTCAAGCCTGTGTCTTTCCCAGGTTTCCCCACATCAGGAAATCACACCACCTTTCATCCAGTTACATCTTAGGCAGATTGAAAGGTCCTTCTTTCTCTGTTCTGCCTCCCCAACCACAAGCCATGTCTACTTCATTCATTCAAAAACGTAGCTATTGAGCCCTTGTCTAGCTTGGATTAATACTTAGTCCATAGGCACACACCTGATCATCTACATTTGCCCTCTTACAGCACTAAACTATGTTTTCTACCTTTATCTTGCATCTACCTACCACTTCAGCATTTTATTAAAAATAAAAATAATAATAATAATAAAGGGAGAAATGTGGGATCAACATATAAATCAAGTATAAAAATCAAACGAATATTCATATTTGACCTGATTGTTTATAGTTCATAATGCGTGATCAAAACCGAAAGTTTCTGTGATGACTGCCCTTGTACTGTTCACCATGTAAGAACTTATTCACTATGTAAGAATTCGTTCACCATGTAAGAACTTGTTCGTTATGCTTCAGAAGATTGGAGACTGACGAGAATTAGGCTTGAGATGGATTAATGATTGTACATTGAGCATTGACCCCCCTATACTGAATTTTATTGTTGTTAACAACCATTTGATCAATAAATATGAGAGATGCCCTCTCAAAAAAAAAAA